TTCGTAATTCTTTTTATACAATCAGACAAAGTAAAACTTCAATGAACAAGAAGACATATACTATGATCATATTTACTGGTTCTCAAGATAAATGAAAATAATTACTTCCTAAAATGTATTTTGCTCATTTATGCAATCTTCTAGCATAGAAAATGAAAGAAAAATTGGCTTTGTATTTGGCAGGTTTCATACGGACGTAATTCGTACAAACACAGAATGTGGGACTGTCAAGATCCCCAGAATCCTGAAGTCTATTTTTGTGTTATCACATTCAATTTGTTATAAAAACCAATTCCTAAATGCCCAAGCTTTATCTTAAACCAGTGAATCTCCAGTCTTGGCTTTGATCTTCCCACTGGAAGGCAGCTTAAGAGAAGAACTTTATAATAAAATAAAATAAAAAATTGGGAAAAACATCCATAAAGTAAAAATACTCTGATATAATCTGTTCCAGCCTGTTTTAAAGGATTCTTGAGAAAGCTTGCCCCTCCTCCAAGGCTAGATATAAGCATTCCAATTCTTCTCTATAATTAAAAGAGGTGAGCTTTTTGAGTAACGTGAAAAAAAACATGACTGAGGTGTTTTTTACTGCTTGAATAGTAATTAATCCTTATTTTTGGGAGACAAATTTGGCTCTTTCTCACAGATCTTCATTGTCTTGTCAATCTGTTAGTTTATCTGTTCGAGTCCTCTGTAAAAAAAAAAATAATCTGATTTTTTAAAAAAATATTTTCAGGTTTTGCCACGAGATGGGAACCAATTGATAATTACCATCCTCTGGTATTTCTGAAGGCATTTTGAGAAGCATCACATCAGGTATTCTCTGTACACATACTTCTCAATTACGAAGATTTTATGTGAAGAGGAGGTATCGGGAGCTTCAAAAGACTGTAACTTTTGAATACTGTTTTAGCCCAAATAATATAAAAGGCATCAGTTGGGATATTTATGATGAAAAACACAAAGGTGTTTCTTCCTGCAATCTGTTCTCTGTCCTGTTTTTCCTAAAAGTTAACATGAACTATCAGGGTGGAAGAGGGCTACAGAACTGTTACACATTTTACCAGTTCACAAAACAAGAATGAAATAGGAAATAGCGATTCTACAGAGGCTTATGGTTAGTCCTTGTTTGCCAAAGGCCTATCTATATATATATATATGCATTCACCACAGGCATAAATCTACCAGTGCAGCAGGCTGGGAAAAAAAGATATACTGTCAACAGTTTTGTTATGTGGTGTAACATTCAAAGTGTTGAAAAGTATTTCTTTGTTATGAAATTACGGGCATGTTTTAGCTTTGTTTTTAAGCAACAGTGTCTCAACAAAAGAGAGATGCTTAATGCCGTATTCTGAGGCCTCTTCTTGGTTTATGGTTTAAAACATATGATTTCAAACTGAAACCAAGGCAGATATAAAAATATAGTGACTGTGTATGCAATTTGAATTCAAAGGCTGTAATTCTAGATTTGGTAGTAACTGTATGTACCTTAGGAGAAGGCCATTTCAATTGCAATGTAATGTGCCAAAGCTTAAAGACCAAGTAAAAATGTTTACCTTTTGGTTATTGCTTTATTTAGTATCCATTGTAACAACTTTTCCTAATCAAAGCTATTATAATTCTGGAACCATCGTCTCTTGTAGAATGGTTTTACAATACAGCTTAAGCCCTGTCGGAGGTTGCTATTAAAGAAAGGGAAAAGTCCCACTCACGTCTTCCATTTCCTTTCCCCCTGCTCACCACCACGTGTTCCCACTGTTTACCCCAGGTCAGCTTTAGTGCTGAGTGCATGGCAATTGAATTCACTAAAATGAGAGAAAATTAACCAGGCAAAAAATGGGTGAATACTGCACTTCAACATCAGACAAGTACTACACCTGGTAAAAGGCAGAGGGTGGATAAACGTTAGAAGCACGGACAGGGAGACTAAGCGTAAAAGAAGCAAACTCTTAATTCAGCCCAGCTACAATGTGAAAACATACTCCACAAAGTGTGTGAAAAATATTTGAGCATTTATATTTACGATGGAAGTAAAAATTCCTTTCAACTGCTTTAGTCACAGGCAGCAGCTCAGAATGTGTTTTTATAACAAACTGAGCTTTAAGCAGGAATATATGCTTAAATAGTTCCCACTTTTGGCAATATGTTCCTGTCCTTGTCCTGCCATATTCTGTGCTTAAACCAATGACTTAATAAAAATGGTTCAAACTAGGCTTGTGCTGATTCTGATTTTTGCAAAATGCCCACAAAAGTTCATGTGGATGAGTGACCTGATCTGAACTACCATGCAACCACACAAATATCAGCCTGTTACAAGGAAAGAGGCAGAAAAATGTGGCTGAAGTTGAAAAGAATGGGAGAATTATTTCCCTATGTTCAGCACTTGTGGGACCATAGCTGGAATACTGCGTCCAGTTTTGGCATTTCCCAATACAAAAAAGACATTGGCAAACTGCAGGGAGTCCTGCAGAAGGCCATCAAGATGGTTACAAGGGATCTCCAGAGGTCCCTTCCAACCTAAATTAGTCTATGATTCTGTGAACGAGCAGCTGTGGAGGAAGTTGAAGAGAGGGACTACAGATTGAGCCAGGATTGTTGCTAAAGCTGTTGTGTTGTGAAAATACAGCCCCAGGTTCTCCAGAGCAGGGGAGTGTTAGCTTACATATGCAGTAATTGGTTACAAAACATTTCACTCCTTTCTCCAGGAGAAACTGAACTGCTGCCAATTGTGGGGATTACATCAAGAAAGATGAGCTAAAGGAAGGGAAGACGGGATTGCACTTCTAGAAAGATTGAAAAATCATAGGCCTCACAAAAGAAATCTGAACAAACAGGTGGGAGACAGAAGCAGCTAACCTATTGCTCTAAACTCGTATGCACAGCATACAGTCAATGGGATTCCATCTGCTTACATTATTCATTTTACAGAATTAAATTCTATATTACAATGGAAGTTTCTCAGATCTCTGAAAAGTTAACCCGTACTGCAATTGCATAAAGAGGTTTATAAAAATTAGTAAATAAACAAAGTAATTACTTACAAGTACAAAGAATTGGTGTTTGCCAGTTGCACAACCTGGGTTTTTACAGGTTCTACTGCAATCAGTATATCTTGTTCTATAGCCATAGGGAGCACAGCATAACCACAGTAGTCTATATGTTCTCCTACCAAATAAACAGACAATTAAAATATTTTGGAATAATTCTTTCTAGAATAGCAGTAACAGGACTTCTACAAGGGTTGTGTGGTTTACTGCACAAGACAATCTGTACCATCTCAACTCTTATTTGGGGTGCATGTCCTTCATTTCATATTACTGCATAAAAATTTTGTTCTTTCTTTAGTGATTTTATCTATTGCATCTGTTTATAAATCTCCATGTTTTAACATTGGTTTATAAAAATTAAAAAAAACACTACATAGATTATTGTCCAGCAATGAGAACTGCCATATTATTTGTACCCTGTTGTGACAGTACAAAAAATTAAGTTAAATTAATCACATTTAACTGATGGCTGGAAGAGATAAAGGCAGCACATGACTCCTCATTATGTGATTTTCTCTGCTCATGTGGGTGATTCATTAGCCACTAGATAAGGCTTGTGGTGGAATTTTATTTTTTTTTTAATAAAATTGCTGGACCTTTTTCCAAGAAGATAATAATGATATTTAAATAATCATTAATACAGTTATATACAATACATAAAGTAACATTCAAATAGAAAATCTATGTAGTAAATACCTTCTCTTGGGAACAATTCCCAGCTAGCATATGCTGTCTATTTAACCTATATGATATGTTCACACAATACCAAGATCAAAATTATCATTAATTGCACAATGGACTAAGTAATTTTTAAACCTCTGTTTTGCAGGATCCTTTTACTTACAAAAAAATAGTTAATTTAATTTGTGCATGCACTGTTCATCAACTACTTAAGATTAAATTTCCAAAGCCTTTCAAAAGAATGGTATCCAACCTTAAGCTGGCAGGTTACTCCAATTTTCAAAACCATCACTACTGTGTATAACTGTTTTTTTTAAAAACTGATATTTGAGTGTATAGTTGTTTATAATGAGGTGTAGTAAAAGCTAGTAAAGTATTATAGTCTTTTCCATTTATCACAAGCAACTTCTCTGAAAAAAATAAAGACCAACATTATTTTGATTCTGTTTTAAACTACTAGGCTTCCATGATGGCAGAGAAAATAACAGATTAGTTTTTCTCTTTTACCTATTAAGTTGACTCGCCCTGGTGCACGAACATAAAACTTGGGAGCTGATCCAAATTTTGATATAAACATCTCCTTCAGCTTCTGCAATCTGAAAGGCAGGATGGAAACATTTAGAAGGACTATATTTGCATAAAAGGCAGGAATTCTATGGTCTTGGTGAAATTTGATTGAACTTTTTGAGGTACATGGAGTTTTCTCCGTTACATCAGGAGCAACATTAAGCTGCTTATTTTTGCTCTTCACATAGCATTGACTGTGAGAGAGAAGACTCCATTTACAGTATTCTAAGAAATGTGTCTGTTTAGTTGAAAATGACAGACAGAGCCTTATTTTAAGTCCTCTGTCTAGGCTGATTCTAGACAGAAGCAGGGAAGGTAGCTGCCTGGCCTCCACCTACCTCTCTTATAGTCACAGCTCTGTAACACTGTTTGCCATTCAGGAAGAATAGGGCAGTGTGGACCAATGGCTTGTCTGTGGCACTGGGATTTGTCACACACACAGAGGTACTCCCTTCAGAGTCAGATCTGACTGCACCAGGCCTAAGCAAATGCATTTTCTTCTAAGTTTTGCCTTTTTCTAATCCCACACTACTTCATTTCTGTACAAATGCGTATACAGAGAACTAAAATTCCAAACCTCAGACTATCCCTGCAACTTATTTAGACAGTATTTACTCTACAGGTTTACAGCAACAGTTCCCAGAACGTTCCTCAGGTTTTCCATTCGGAGGTGCTAGATATGCCACTGAAAGTTCCAACGCAAAGAAAAACTGGGTGTATTGCTTTATTTCCTAAGACTGTAAAAGTACCTAGCTTCCACCCTGTGTTTGCAAAGTTGGGATGTTTTACTGTGTCATGCAGGAAAAGTGGACAAACAAGAAGAGATTAAGCCATTATCTTAGTGAGGCATAAGAAATTGGATACTGATTCGCTTCAAAACTACCTTAAAGCAATTTAGCTTGCACACTAACCCATTAACTTTCATTAATGTAAGCAACAGACTAAAATGGTGAAAAAGCAGTAAGAATACATGGAAAATAATCTTTAAAATGGGACTTACAATATCTTACCGGTATACCCTGTTGGCTTTAAAGCATGTAGCCAATTTATTTTTTTTGTTTTCAGTCTATTAACAAAAATCCAGTAACAGGAACCCTGTGTGGTTCTACATATAGTCTAAAACTAGAACTGGAAGCCTAGTTAATGCAAAGCGTAAGTAAGGAGACAGCAATGAGAAACAGATGTTACAAAATTTCACAGTCAATTATTTAGTTTGTACTTCTTTGTAAAAACTGTGTTACTGTCCAACTACATACATTCAAATGTTTTGTAAGATTTCTTTAGATGGAAAGCTAGAAAATATTATTTGTTGTGATTTTTTTTAACAGATCTTTCAGTACTTTTCCGTCTTGCTGCCCAGTAACAAAGCCGTATGAGGTCCCCATATAATTTCCCCTTCTTATAATCTCCCCTAGTATTGACTAGTTTATCACTCTTCCAATTAGCAGAAGCAATTTCTGCCATTGCATTGTACAATCCCTTTTCTAGATCACATTAATAATATTACAGTCCATGGGGGAATCTGTTGGCAGAATTCTAGGTGTTAACTTTATTCCTTTTTGTGTCAGTATTTAGAATGCTGCTTTGTTTCACAGATATTTTTACAGTGGTGTTGGTACCAAGAGACTAAGAACAAACAGAGCAGTCATAGGGGCATGTTTATCTAAGTGCTGATTGATCTCTTTTTTTAATGTGGGTTTTACAAGCAGCCCTGATGAAAGGCTATTTACAGGCTTTGGCCTTGATGTTGCAACATGCATGCTGCATTTTAAGCACCTACATCAAAGATGATTGTCAGAAGTGTTAAGCAAAGGCATCCCTCACAACTTCACACGTCCCAGTCTGGAAATACTAGGGACTTGTCCTTTCCACATGACTTACACTGAAACACAGTGCAGTCTTACACAAGCAACAAAAGTTTAAAAAAGCTATCCTTCTCCAGTGGTAACACAGGTAAAAAGGTTCGTTTGAACTGTTTGTGCGTTCTACTTCCACACACTGAGTGCAGCCCTGTGGGGAAAGAGCACGCGTTGGCACGTGCCGTGGGCATACCAACGCATGGCCAGGCCTATGCTGTTCCGCGGAGCCCCACGGGCTTTTCTTTTATGGCCAGAAGGACAAGAAGATAAGCAGTACCCCCAGAATTCTGGAAAAAGAAAAATCTTTAGGAGGAAAGATGAACGGACGCCCGGGCCGCAGGGAGTGGGGTTCGGTGGAGGCGCAGGAGGGGCCGGTGACCAGGAGGCGGCCGCAGGGCCGCTCTGCCAGGCCAGGCCCGCTTGCCGGCGGGCAAATAGAAGTAGGCCCAGGCCCATGTGGGAGCATAGCTGCTCCCGGGGCTGCACAGCATCCAAGCGTCGCGCTGTTTGGGTGGAGACGAAGTACCGCAAGCCAAAACCCGCTCAACCCCTGGCACCGGGGCACGGGGACAGACCGCCCCACCTGTCCTCCCACCTCCCCTCTCCGCCTGCAGACCTCCCACCTCTGCATAAACGGCGGCGGGCGCCCCCTGGCGGGGTCCCCCCGCGGGGACA